AGGGTCTAGGTCCAGGTGGGAGTCAGGCGGAGTCAGGTGGGAGTCATCAGGGTCAGGCGGTGAGTCGAGTCAGGGGTCAGGCGGGAGGGTCAGGGTCAGGTGGGAGGAGTCAGGGTCAGCAGGAGTTCAGCGGAGCGGCGGTCTCGTCCGCAGCCCAGGCCCTGGCCCACCTGTTTTCCCACCGGAAGAGCCCAGCCCTGCCCTCACCGAGATCCGGCAGAGCCCCTCCTGGGCCGCGTGACAGCCCGTTCCACTTGGTTGGGTTCTGGCCGCCCTCAATTGCACTCAGGTCTACATCACGCAAGTGCCCCCAGAAACTTCCTCTTTGAGCCAAGCTTCGTTTGGGTTTGGTTTGCTGCCTTAGCGCACTCTGCCTTTCTTTTCTATTTTTTGTCCCCAGGATGGTTCTATTGTGTCAGGGTCAGGCGGGAGGGGTCAGGGTCAGGCGGGAGGGGTCAGGGTCAGGCGGGAGGGGTCAGGGTCAGGCGGGAGGGATCAGGGTCAGGCGGGAGGAGGCAGGGTCAGGAGGGAGTCAGTCAGGGTCAGGTGGGAGGAGTCAGAGTCCAGTGGGAGGGGTCAGGGTCAGGTGGGAGGGGTCAGGGTCAGGTGGGAGGGGTCAGGGTCAGGTGGGAGGGGTCAGGGTCAGGCGGGAGGGGTCAGGGTCAGGTGGGAGTCAGGCGGAGTCAGGTGGGAGTCAGTCAGGGTCAGGCGGGAGTCAGTCAGGGTCAGGCGGGAGGGGTCAGGGTCAGGCGGGAGGGGTCAGGGTCAGGTGGGAGGAGTCAGGGTCAGGCAGGAGTCAGGCGGAGTCGGGCGGCTCTCCAGCCCAGCCCTGGCCCCACCTGTGTTCCCACCAGGAAGAGCCCAGCCCTGCCCTCACCGATCAGGCAGAGCCCCTCCTGGGCCCGCGTGACAGCCACGTTCACTTGGTTGGGGTCCACAACGAAGCCCAGAAACTTCTTGAGCCAGCTCTTGGTGGGCCGCTGGTCCAGGTCGCTCTTGGCACAGGTGCGGACGGTGCTCACCAGCACATAGCGCCACTCGCTCCCTGCGAGATGGAAGGTGAGGCCCTGCGGCCACTTCGCCCACCCTCCCGGCCCCACCCATGAGCCCCCAGCCTCACCCTGGCTC